TACCTATATATTATATACTATATACTATATATATGTAGGCTGGTATGACAAAGGACGTATAGCGTTATATTACAAAGAATATAGCGCGAAACGTCTCACATGTAAAACCAACGTGATATCACAGGTCTATAATATCTTCCCTTTATACTAGCTGCAAGAAGCGGACATATAGATAAAAAGATCGCGTGTACTGACGTCAGTCTCGCAGCCCGGTCAAGCTACCCTGTATATAGTGAATATGAACTGGTTTAGCATAGTATCAGGAATGAATAATAATTGAGTATTATATTATTTATTATTATTTACTCCTGATAGTATGCATCCACCTTATGGCAAACGTCCCTGCTTTACACTGCGCATAGGCAAAATAGTCAAATCCGTGTCACAGTTCGGATGTACCTTGGTAGACCTGCCCATGCGTAGTGTAGAAGGAAGACATTTGTCATAGTAGATATGGGGAGTTGTATACCGCGATACGCCGGCTTCAATACAAGTAAGGAAGTGAGAATAAGAAGTAGGTTTTGCAATCAGGGACCTTCCCAACCCCACGTACCTTGTTGTTTTTTTTGCGTCCGCGTGCACGCGTGGCGACGCGTTTGTGTGCGTTTGTGTGCGCGTGCGTGTAATCGTATTACCTACAGACGAACTTCTTATTAAATCCTATTAAATTATATTAATAAATTATATTACATTTAATTTATATTACTATAATTATATACACAAACTATTACAAGTTTATATATATATATAGTATACACACATTTATTTACTATAGTAGCAGGGCAATGTGTGTATACGTAGTAGCACGGCGAACATTGTCTAGCTAACCAACAATTACCACACTCAGCGCCGCTTTGCAATCGGTCACATAATTACGTGCGCGCATATAGCGCATGTATAGTCTGCGACGAGCAAGGAATCCGAGCTATGCGTGCGGCGGCCGCGGCCTCGCTATCTGATCACATGGGTCCCATAAAACGGCGAGATTAAACTCGCATTAGCCCGCCTTCTAGAGGTCAGTCATTATGTGGGGCGAGAGAGAGAGAGAGAGAGTAAGATGCGCACATGCAGTTAGGCGACCGGCAATGCTAGGAGGTGGTGGTGGCATGTGGGGGTGGTGGTGGATAAGGTCTAGAAGATGCGCCTATGACGGGAACAATCCCCATGATCGCCCGCCCTGTGACCGCCCGGCCTGACCGCCAGCCCGCCCTCCGGCTTGTAGACAGGTGTGGTCATCACGTGTGACCCACATGTGTTTAGTGAAGTGTGGTGTGGCGTGGTGTGGTGTGGTGTAGTGTTGTGTTGTGTTGTGTTGTGTGGTGTTGTGTAGTGTAGTGTAGTGTAGTGTAGTGTAGCGTAGTGTAGCGTAGTGTAGCGTAGCGTAGCGTCGCGTAGCGTAATGTAGCGTGGCGCGGCGCGGTGTAATGTAGTGTAGTGTAGTGTAGTGTAGTGTAGTGTAGTGTAGTGTAGCGTAGCGTAGCGTAGCGTAATGTAGCGTGGCGCGGTGCGGTGCGGTGCGGTGCGGTGCGGTGCGGTGCGGTGCGGTGCGGTGCGGTGCGGTGCGGTGCGGTGCGGTGCGGTGCGGTGCGGTGCGGTGCGGTGCGGCGCGGTGCGGTGCGGTGCGGTATACGTATGCGTGCACGTGCTAGTGTACGTGAGCGGGCGCGTATGCATCAGTCAGCGAGTAATGAACGACTTAAAATCTCTCGTAACCACTTTGTTCTTACATCGTGTTACCATGTCGTGACTCGCCGCAAGAGGGAGTGGCAGGTGACGGTAGGCCGGCTCTGGACAGCTGACCCGTGACGGCAGCGCCGCCGTTAAGCTGCCGTCCCAGCGTGATATACGACGTCGGCAGCGGCGATAAAGCGTAATTTTAATCAAAACCAATTTTAATAACGATTATTATTAAATCATTACGACGTGGGCGATCGGCCGCCGAACTACCGCGCTCGACGCGCGCTGCGGGCAAATTGCATGGAAATCACACGCGCATTCCCGGTCATAAATATTCAAAATATGCGCGCCCAAGTTAATATAGCATAAAAGCTCTTTCGCGATACAGCGATCGCGTGGGGCGGGCGGGCAAGCACTCGAGCACGCTCGCTCGGTCTATCGGCGCGCTGCAACTTTCGTTTAGCTCCCATTAGCTCCCGCGAGGGGGCTGGCGCATGCGCACACTGCTACCGTACCGCCACTGCAGCGCATGTAAACGCGATGTTTCCGCGTGCGCTAGGTAGGGTGGGATGAGGAGAGGAGGGGAGGGGATGAGTCGAGCACTGATGCTACTATAGACGTACAGCATGTTCGCCACGACGACATGTAAAACGCGCATCGCAACCAGGCATCGCCGGCATCATGCACCTTTGGCCTTATTTCGGCGGCGTGACGCCACGCGGGCCACTTGTGTATGTGTGTGTGTGTGTGTGTGTGTGTGTGTGTGTGTGTGTGTGTGTGTGTGTGTGTGTGTGTGTGTGTG